TTTTCTAAAGAATTAAAAGCAGTTCATAAGGTGGGCGGGGGGGGGGTATCTTGCTTTGTATCTCCAGAGCAACCAAATGAACTATATTTTAGTTATTTAAGCCATCATTTGACCTTGAGATGATCAAGGCGGAAGCATAATCTCTCTCTCTCTTAGAATATATAAGAGAGGATATATCATAAAGATAAAAATAGGTAAGATAAATAGTAAATTAGAATGTTATTTCAGAAAAAGTTGTGAACTTTAGGAGGTGTGCGGTATTAGTTAAAACACTGAAATCTCCTTTACATCACCAGTTATGACTTCATGGACAGTTCCATGTAGCTTTCTTGACAGCAGTACCCAAGTGGTTTGCCACTGACTTCATCTAGGATGTGTTTTTGTCCCAATTTAGTCCACAGACCTGGGATTTCCTGGTGCTCTCCCCTTCAAGTACAAAGCTGGTCTAATCTTACTTAGAGATAAAATCCTGCTTTTTTGAGATCAACCCAGGTTGGCAAGTTGCTGCCTGGGCCAAAACCGAGCCATAAAAATAGACAATAAATATAGTGGAATTGGTTAAACAGCTTGTACTGGTTTTCCAGTGCGGTGGGATTGCAACTCTCAGGAATCCTCTGGACTGCCTAATTCTTGAAGCAGCAATCCTGCTTCCATGTCTGGTTGAGAAAGTCTGAGTTAAGCTGAAAGACAAAGAGTGTTGTGATGATTGAATTTCAAAACCAAGCAAGGATTCAAACCCAGATGTCTCTTGTTCCAAATCCAGCACTAGGCTTGGAACAAGAAGACCTTACCCACTAGAAGACCCTACTGTCTTCTGTTTCACAGCTTGAGCTTTACCTTCCAAGTTGCCCTCTGGCCTACTTTGTTCTCCAGATCATTGAACAAAGCTTTGTAGTTCTGTGTTGATGTCTTTTCCTCATTGACATCTCTGTTTTTCTCTGCAGTTTACAGGGCAGTGTCCATGCCGGGAAGGCTATGGGGGACTGACGTGCTTTACTGTTGAAGTACAGGAATGTCCAGACCGCACATTTGGAAATGTTAGGACTGGTTGTAGAGGTATGGAAAGTTGGCCATATTTGCTTGGAGACTTCTGGGTATTTCGTGGCTCATTGCTAACTAGCTGTCCTCAGCATCAGCATTTTTCTGTTGACATCTGTTTCTGCTTTAACTCTTACCAGAGATTTGTAACTATTTCCTTTCCTTTTGACCTCCTCCTACTTGTTTAGCCTATTTTGTTATTTTCTTAGTATGGAAGTTAGGATGGAAATTTAGCAAACATTCAACAACAGGCTTATCCGTTCTTGTTTGGGTGTGCATGAGAAAACACCCTTAAAAATAACTTGGGGTAGGGGGAATGTTGTTATGTGTTTTTGTCCAGTAAGTCATGTTTCTTTAAACTGTGTATTTTTTAAAATATTCAAAGCTGCCCAGAGTCTTTTTAGAGTTGATCAGCTTTGAAAACTGATACATACATGCAAACATACATACACATAACAAACATAAATTACACAACTCCCTGAAGGAGGTGTATCCTATAGATAACAATTTCAGCCTAGTCACTCTTTCTGTATAACCCCTATCCTTTGGAATAGACAATATGGTACTTATGGGTATCAAGTATGCCTAAAGAAACTTCCTTTAGTGGATTCTAGTTCTCTGCCCCACCTGACTTAATTTCTTAAATCTTTCATTAAGGTAATAATACACTAAATAAAGTGGATCTGCTGCAAAGGTAAACTGCAGCCTCCAGTATTATCTTAATTTCCAGTAATGCTTCTTGTCCCACATAGGCCCCATAGCTATTCTTAGGGGAAAAAAAGGGGAGGGGGCTGAATCCCAGTGTTTAAGAAATATGCCTTGCCAAAAAAAAAAAAGAATAGGTGAGTCAAACTGATAGAAAGCATTCTGGGGGCTACAGGGATGGTAATGACAGCCCTACAAGATAGACCAGAAGCCAACTAGAACTCTTACTTTATTGAGATAGGCTATAGCAACAGAATCTTGCAAGTGATTGTGATTTTCCTTCCCTTCCTCATATATTCCAGGGAGTCAGGAAGGAACTAGCCTAAGTCTCTTCTTAATAGTATTTCCCTTTGCAGAGCTTAATGCTTTTGTCCTTTTTGTTTACGTATCTGAATATTTGCTTGGCTGAATATTTCCATGGCTCTCTATAGGTAGATAATAACTTCATCAATTTCCTTCTTGATAAAAGGATGTTTTTTGACTAGTTGTACCCATCATAGTATGCATTTTGTGAATAATTCCACAAAATGCTCAGATGTTAAATGACCTGGCCAACCTAGATGATGATGATGATGATGATGATGAAGAAGAAGAAGAGGAGGAGGAG